GATAGGGTGACAGCGCTAGACCAAGGCGGTCAAAATTAATTTGGGAAACCAAAACAGCCCTGTGGCACAAAAGGAGAAATTCAGGGAATTCTGGGTGGATTCCTATTTATTCAGGTAAGTTCACCGATAATCAATCCAATCTCTGTAACTGCAGAGACCATCAGGAGAAGAGGGGATCCGATTTTTTAAAACTGTGAGCACTTTCAGAGCAAGCACCTGTACAACTTCCAGAGATGTCTAGCACAGAGTAAGAGCCCCCAAATGTTGCTGGATATATTCAGGGACCAGTCCCGGATTGAAAGGTCCAAGCAAGTTACAGATATCAAACCTGTTAAAAACTCTAGGCAAATCCTGAAAATCATCTCCAATCTCCCGGTGTTATTATTGCATGGTATGAATTTAGCTTTTAAGGTGAGAATTTCTTCGAGAAACTGTTAACAAACCTACAGGAAGAACTATATCTCAGAAGAAAAGGAGTTTGTGGGGCAGCCCAGGTGGCTCAGCGGTTTAGCGCCGCCTTCGGTCCAGGGCCTGATCCTGGAGACTCTGGATCGAGTCCCACGTCGGGCTCCCTGCGTGGAGCCTGCTTGTGTCTCTGCCTCTCTCTCCTGTGTATTCTCATGAATAAATAAATAAAATCCTTTTTTTAAAAAAGGAGTTTTTTGTTTTGTTTTGTTTGCCAAGCACTATTTCTGGCACTGTGTGACTGCGGCACTATTCACAAGGAATCCCATAGCTCAGGCCTCTGCTTGCGCAGCGGTGTGCTTTCCTGGGTTCTCCACCCCTGCTCCCACTCTCAGTGGCTTAGGGTGTGTGTGGTGAGGAACTCTACGGGATTTTCAGAATCCCCGAACGGCAGGAGTAGGTGAGCGCGCGGGGAGCGCTCATCTAGGCTCGCCCCGCGCCCAGCGGCGCTCCACCAACCTCCGGTCATAGATTCCGGGAGGCGCGGGGGATGGCCGGGCTGGACGCTCCAGCCTGGACGGTCATCGTTGGACCCGCGGGAAGGTGCGGGCGACGCTCCCGGGCCGTCTGCGCGGCGAGCAGAGCCGGGCGGTCCGTGGTCCTGGAGCGCACTAGCCGGACCAGCGCGCACTTGCTCGGAGCACTGCGGCCAGCGTTCCCGGAGCCCTGCTCGTCTTCCCCGCCGAGGACACTTTCCCTGACAGCTTCCGAGCTAGCTCTGCACCGAGAGCTACCGGGGTCTGTTTCTCCCACGAGAGTAGCCTGCCCAGCCAGAAGAGCAGAGGGAGGCTGACAGCCCTAACGGAGAGGCAGGTACCGAGGTCAGCTCTGGAGTTCTGGGATCTGGGGCTAGATCACTTGATTGGCCCAAAGGGCCCCTTCTCAAGTCCCCGCTGGCCGTTTTGTTTTGTTTCTGGGCTCCTGGGAGGTTGCATCTTAACCGGCCTCCTCACTCTGGAGACTAGGCCCTGTGCTGTGGGATTAGGGCTCCAAGTCCCCCACCCCTCGGGCGCAGGGTTCGCCTGCATTTGGCTGAGCGTAGCCACTCAGAGTTGGAGACTCACGCGTGGAGCCCCACGCCGGTCGCCCTATGGGGCCCGACCTAGCCCCTTTGGCCATAGGAGTGGGGACAAAGTTCGCCCCGTTTCCGCCGCTCGGGTTGGAGCACCAAGGGGCTCTCCTGACCGGGGAGCTCGTCCCTCCTTCTTCTCTTCCAGGCCCATCTGGCGAGCTGGGCGGCCCTCTTCGCTTCCTCCCCGGCCTCCCTGGAAGGCTGGCCTCTGCCGGCCACATCACCTCCCCTCTGCCACTGCCACCACCCTAACCCCCACCGCCAGGGCTTGCAACTAGGCGCCAGGCTCGATTATCAACACTTCAAAGACATCCCATTTCATCCCGTTATGAGCCCATTTTATGGAAGAGATAACAGAGAATTAAAATGATTAGTTCAAGGCTACGCGGGATTTCCCGGAATTCAAGCCGAGGGCGCGGGAACTTGAGAGCCGGAGCTCTTCTCCGTGGGACGCACCGCTCTGGCTGCGCGCCTCGGAGTCGCGGTGAGCGGCGAACTGCGCGTTCGGCGAAGTTTAGGGATCCTGCGCCCGGTCCGGCTCGGCCAGCTGGAGACGCACGCTTGGCGGGGAGTCAGCACCTGCGCCCGGGCCGCGCAAGCCCAACCCCCAGGGGCTCACACTTCTTCGCTTTGGGTTGGCGAGCCCTGCAGCCCGCGCGCGCGGGGGCCACGGCGCAGTCTGCAGTCCGGGCAGCGCGCGAGATTGGGGCCGGAGCCTCGCACAGGGAGCCGGGTTTGGCTGCAGCCCTGGAACCCTCCTTGGCCTCCGAGGGTAAGTCTCCGTGCACTTCACCAATTGGGTGGCTGAGCTGCAGCCAGTCCTCCCCACCCAGCATCAGCTTCCCTCGTGTAAAATGGGGACAGTTTCACTTACCTGGTCAAGGTTGCTGTGGGGATCAAAAGAGTTTTATGACGAAGGGAGTCATAGAACTAGGAAGCGCTAACGATCAGTGGTTATATGAGCATGTCACATTAACTGAGACAGTGTGAGGATTTGTCAAAGGAGAGGGGCTGTTAGGACTGGTAGGAGACCCGGTGAACCTCTGCAAGCAGCTCCCGGCTTAGTTCCCAAAGGAATGCTTTGGGTCATAAAACAACGTGGAAGGATGCCTATTTCTAGATAGTGAATTAAACACTTTCCATGAATTTTTTGGCTTAAATCTCACAACTCTATGATGTAGTATTTACTCACAATTTATGAATGGAGAAATTGAGGCACAGAGAAGTTGAGCAATTTTATCAAGGTCATGGGTCAGGATTTGAGGGAGGCGGGTTTGAAGGCAGCTTTGCTGGACTCCAGAACCCAGGCAAGTGTGGAGGAGCTGCAGGGCAGGGTCATTGGCTCCCCAGTGACATATCTCACTGATGAGACAGTTCCCCTTCCTGATCCTTTAAATCAGAGGGGTGTTAAGACTCAATTTCTCTCAAAAAACAAAAACAACAAAGCAAAAGGAAAACCACCAACAGAACAAAAACAAACCTCGCTCTTTGCAAAAGGAAACAATAGCAGTGACTCCTGGGAGTGAGCCTAAGGCCCCACCAGGGTGGAAGTGCTCAGGTGGTGCCTTTCCTTGCACAGGTGAGGGAGAAGCAGGTGGCCCCAGAGACTGGAAACCCTTCTAAGTCAGGGCCTGTTTGCCCCTAATACAAGACCCTGTTGGCCTTGGGGTGGAGACTCATCTAAAGCAACACCTCCTTCAGAAGAATCACTGAGAAAGCCTTTGCCCCAGACATCTGTTTTGGGAGGAAAGGGGAGACTGGGCCAACTCCTTGGCTGGCTGGAGCATTTTCCTGGCCTCAGCATGGCCAGCATGGCACAGAATGGGCTGCTCTGCTCTGTGCCATTCAGCACTAGCCGGTGGCACTTAGAACCCCCATGCCTCTGGGATACGTTGCCTGAGAAATTCATCTTCATTAGTGACTCAAGCTTTAAAAAAAAATTACTTATTTATTCATGAGAGAGGCAGAGACACAGGCAGAGGGAGAAGCAGGCTCCCTGTGCGGAGCCTAATATGGGACCTGATCCTGGACCCCAGGATCATGCCCGGAGCTGGAAGGCAGATGCTTAACCACTGAGCCACCTAGGTGTCCCTAAATAAAATCTTAAAAAAGAAAGAAAGAAAGAAACCAAAAATCTACCCCCTCATATACTGCCCCAGCCTCAAACCCAAATGTGGTATTTCATAATTGCCCCCTCTTCCCTGGCTAGTACCAAAAAAAAAAAAAAAAAAGAAACAACAACAAATTCTGCTCTAATGTTTTTCAATAAAAGGGAATCATTGCATGACAAGAAAGCCTGATACTAAGCAAGGAAAATGCATTTGCATCTCTTTTCCGTGTTATCCATATTTATCGTTTCCACAAACACCACCTGAACACTAGGCCGGGACCCTGAAACAAGCAACTGACTTGGAAACTACAGACCTGTTTGTAAAGAACGGTTAGGTAATTTTAAAACTTTAAATAAAAATAACCAGCCTTCAAACTCCCCAACTACATATGTTTTCATCATTTCCAAAGATGTAGAAATCACACTGTCTCTGAATAGTTTCCAAGGTAGTTCATGCTACTGGCCTTTCATACAGCCGCCTCTCCTGCCCTGAGACTAGGAACTAAATGCACATCCTAAATAGAAAGTTCCAAATAGCTTCAGTTCAGTGATGGTTTAGGGTCATCTTTCTCCCCCAAACCCTGTACTCTAGGCCTCCTTCCAATTGCCCTCCCTCCAAGTGTCAGGCAAAGTGAATGTACAGGGCCTCTGGCACTGCCGTATATCCCAGCCCTGCTGCCCCCCCCCCCCCCCCGCAAGACGTTCTCTTCTTTGGAGGAAAGAGATGCAGTTTGGAGGATGTGAGCTGGTGAAATACATGGTGATACATAAAGGATTTTAAAAAGGAAGATGAAGACACGGGGAGAAGCAAGAGGAGGAGGAGGAATCATTCTATTCCACAGGCATCAATTTCACTAGGTCTTTGAAACCTTAGACATTTCCTTTCAATTATTTCTAAGCTTTAAGGTAGAAGCCTGAGAAAAAGTGGCTCTGTTTCGGGACAGATGAAGGTGCTCCGTCCAGCTTGCCTGCAAAATGTGTTGGAGGGCATTCCGACTTGTAGTTTCTGTTGTCTTTTGAAGAGCTGGCTTCTCTAAAGAGGCCCATGGTTCTGGAGTGCTAGGACCTGCACAGCAGCAGATGTCACCAATCCAACAATATCACCGGAAGAGGCCCCAGATATAACAGAAAGCCTCTCCTCTTCTTCCAGAAGGTCTCCCAGTGTCTCTCTAAGGCGTCCCAGTTAGCACAGGGGCCTGAGAACTCAAGTTCTCCCCTTCCATCTGGGGTGTCCTCTGCAGTTCCCAACTCCTTGAAGGGCCAGAGCTGTTTGTCTACACCCGGGGTCCTACGCCTGCTCCCCCCTTCTTTACCAGTGGTTGAAACCGCCTGGCAAGGAGGAGCCCCCATCTCTCACCGGGGCTCTTGCGGTCGCACGGGCGCCACACTGGACGGCTTCGGCGATGCACTCAGGCCCGGCGGCAGACGTCCTTCCCGGGCAGCGGCGGGAACAGCAGGCGGCACAGCACCCCCCGGGGGCAGCGCAGGCGGCAGTGCCAGCAGCTCCTCCCCCGAGCTCACCGCACAGTCCTGCTCTGGTTCCGCGTCCGCGACGCCCCCGGGCGCTGTACCGCAGCTGCGCTTCTTGTCCTCCTCCTTTTTCCATTTCATGCGGCGGTTCTGAAACCAGATCTTGATGTGCCTCTCGGTCAAGTTCAGCATGACGGCCAGCTCCACCCTGCGTGGCCTCGAGATGTATTTGTTGAACAGGAACTCCTTCTCCAGCTCCAGCAGCTGGGCGCGAGTGTAGGCAGTGCGAGTCCGTTTGTTTTCTTCTGGCTCTGCAACGTAGGCGCCGCCTGTGAGTGACAGGGCATGTGAGTGTGGTCCCTGGCCCCCTGGCTCCTCCTGCCCCACCCCTGAAGGCCAGTACTTCAGCCCCAGGCCTGGGAGACCTGGTCCTGCCTGGCATTCCTGCCACTCAGTCCCAGCCTCCTACCCCAGAGCTTAGTCTGGGCTCATGCAGCCCTTTTCCAGCAAATGTCACCTTTTTTGGGGGGGGTGTGTGTCAAAGCTGTGCCTGCTCTCAGGCTCATGCTCTCTGTGAGCATGTGGCGGCAGGTGGGCTCTATCAAGCACTGATCCTTCAGTGGATTCACTAGGCCAATGTTTGGGTTGAAGGTGATTAAAATGCACACACAATAGATATTTAAGCTTACTCCATTCTACAAAGGCAATAAATGCTTTTAATATAAGACTTCTAAAAAACCACTTTCTGACGATGACCCACAGTAAGAACACATTTCATATCACTACCCAGTTCACACACCAACATAGAATTGGCACAAAAATTTTTCAAGACATAAAACCAAGCTTTGGGGGATCCCTGGGTGGCACAGCGGTTTGGCGCCTGCCTTTGGCTCAGGGCCCGATCCTGGAGACCCGGGATCGAATCCCATATCGGGCTCCCGGTGCATGGAGCCTGCTTCTCCTTCTGCCTGTGTCTCTGCCTCTCTCTCTCTGTGACTATCATAAATAAATAAATTTAAAAAAAAACAAGCTTTATCACATATGATACTAATTTTTCCTATTGTTTACTATTTCATTTTTTTTAAAAAAAGGTCCCAGGCCAGTTGATTTCACAATCAACTTATAAATATAACCCTCATGGTGAAAAACCTTGAGCCAAAAACACCCCTGAGCTTATGACATATAGTGTTATATCCAACCACGTTTTATCTCTCTATACAGTTATATTGTAATCATCCCCAACTCATGAGCTGAGCTGGTAAGTTCTCTATAATTGTTTTAATCTCTACCGGATCCCTGTTCTGGAGGAGAAGGGAAACTATATGGGGCACCAAGGAAGTCCCCATCAGCCCCGGCCTCTGAGTCCTGGGCTCCAAATGCAGGCAAAGGTGAGCGAGGAGCCTCCAGGGGTCGGATTCCCACTGGGAACGGAGAGCCCTATGCAGGACGTGGGAGTGGTGGAGTCAAAGGCTCAGGCATTCCAGCTCCAAGCCCGGGTCGCAAGGAAGCGGCCGCTGGCCCAGTCAATTACCTCTGCACACCTGCTGTTTGCCACTGTGCTCGGGCTCTTTAGCTTTTCCTTTTTCTGTGAGATACCGACTGCACCTGAGCGGTAGTCTCTGGCCCACTTAAGTTCCACCAACACTCTAGGACGACCCCTAAATCTGCTTGTCTTAGAACGGAGTCTGGGGTATTTCTCCTGTGACTGTTAGGAAGCTTTAGGGAATTGAAAAGCTAGTATGGGGTGTGTTTGGGAGGAGGGTTCCCCTCAGGCCAAAGGAGCACCCAGAACCCAAGGCAGAGGCTTGGATCAGTCAGCAGAGGAGTACTGCTCCTTGGGGAGCATCTCCAGAGCCTTACACTTCCAAGCTTTCCTTGGCATGGGAGAGAAGCAAGCAAGCCTTAAGGGGAAGTTTAAAAAGCCCCCGCCCGCCACATTCTTAAATTCAAATCACAGTCTCTCAGGGCTCTGGCCCTGTTCCCCCCACGGGCTTCACGGAGGTACTGTCAGCCACCGGGCAGGATCCACTACCCCAGGAGACCAATGCTCAGGACAAGTTGGCAGAGAGGATGGAGGCTGCTGGTGGTGTTATTGAGAAGATGTCAATAGTCCCCAGGTCTGTGCCCTTTCCTCAGGCTCAGGGTGAGGCGGTTTAGGGATAAGCCCTCCAGTGAGGCTAATGCAGTTCATTTCCTAGGTTGACATTTTCAAAAGTTCCTACAGCATTGTTGTTAGTATTCATGTCTATAGTACAAAGGAAAGACCATTGGTCACTTTACTCTCCCTTGGGGGTTTGAAACCCCACTAGGAGTGGGCAGGTGAGTTCACAGATCCTTGAAGCTCTGCTCTTTCAAGAGTTTTCCGGGAGGACCTCCAGGCCGCAGGAGTACCTTACAGAAAAGTAGGCTGGCCCTTGGCTGAGCTTGTAGGGGGTCAGAGGGCTCTGGCAAAGGCTTCTCCGCGGGACTCTCCAACCTGAGGGGGTTATGGTTTTGAGGTTCCCCCATCCCAGGGCAAGGTCGCCAATTTTCCATCGGGTTTTACTGTCTGGCTCCTTAGGTCTGCCCTAGCCCGAGCTCCCGAGCTCCACGAGTGTAGGAGTCATACCCTGGTGGAGATGTTACCTGGCTTCAGAACGTTTCATTTAGGGCCTCTTTGGGAGGTCCGGGAAGGCCGGAAACGCGCGTCCCCAAACCCCACCCCGGGTGGAGGGACGTGGTCCTCCCGCCTCCCAAGAATCCCGCATTTCCCAAGGCTCCCAGCCCCTGGCGGCGGCCGCGGGCTGCGGCAGTGCGAGAGGCTTCCGGCCGCGTCTGGCGCCCCCTCGCCCCGGGCTGCGCCGTAGGGGGGTTAGACAGCCGCTGAGTTTGGCCCGGTCCTGCCTCCGGCCCCGCCTGGTCCTCACGCTCGGCCTTCAAGAGAAAGGGAACTGGGAAGAGGCGAGCCCCGGGGCCCCTGGGCGAGCCCGGACCCCACAAAGCTCGCTGGGCTGCGCCGGGGTCTGTGACAGGCGCCGGGGGCGCACGGGGCGCCGAGGACTCTTGGGGTCGGGGCCGCCAGCCTGCGCCTCTTTCCCCTTACCCCCGATTCCTGGAAGGAAAGGAAAAGTCAGCTACGCGCCATGCAGGTGTGACCGCAGGTGACTGCGGCACGGAAGCGATAACATTGTGTAGCGGCCAGGAGCGGCGGCCGCTCGCCGGGGAGGGGGCCCGGAGGCTGCTCCGCGTCTCCGCCTTCGGGCTCCCGGGACGGCCTTCGGGGACACGCCGGCGCCCAGGGCGGCGGGGGCCCGGGGCTCACGCCTCCCAGAAAGGGCCATGCGGGGAGGGCATCTCCCTCCTCAAACTTACTTGCTGGGAAGCAGCGGGAGGAGACCCCTTCGAACGTTTCTGTTTGTTCAGAAGTGAACTAGCATCGCAGACGCCTCTCGAAGCTGCCTGTGTCCCAGGCTGAGCAGCCAGGCCTCGGTCCTGCCGTGAGTACCCCTCGCACCCCGCACCCCAACTCCGGCCCACCGAGCACCTTTGCAGACTTAGGTGCAGTCTGTCTTCCCTGCTTTTCCGCGAGCCCCGAGTGCCCCCCGCCCCGAGCCTGCCTGTACTCCTCTAAGGAAGCCTCCCGGATGGGCTCAGGCCCGGGGGGGGGGGGGGGGGTGCCGGGACTCCAGAGGCAGCTTCGTCCCGGGGCGGGAGCCTCCCACAGCCCTGCTCGGCTTCCCTGACGCTCACTCGGTGCAGTCCTGCCGGGCGGATCCCCGAGTGGAGGGGTGCGGAGGGTCCGAAGCCTGGAGCTCGGCCGGGCCTTAGCTCTCTGGGGGTGCGCAGGCTGCTGGAGTTCGGTGTACGGGGAAGGAAGGGTTTAAGCTCCCAGAAGGAGAGCTGAGTGGGAAAGACGCTCCAAAAGGGACCGTAAAGGTGGTTCTGTGTAGGATGGCCTAAGTTGGCTTCCTGTGCAGGTTAGTCCGACCTTGGGTTGTCCCTGGCGATGGGAACCAACCGACAGAGGGTCCTGGGGAGCATTTGGAGGTGGGGGCAGCCGGGGCCAGAGGCGGCGAGGACGAAGGGGGCGGGGAGCCAGGCTTACCTGCCCACTGGCCTTTCCAGGCGTGAGCCTTGGTAGACTTCATCCACGGGAAAGGCAGCTGGACGCGGCTGGGCTCCTCCAGGGCTGCTGGCTCGGCTCCCTCCGGGAAGGGCCCGGCCGGCGGGTGGGGGAGCGTGAGCTGAGCTGGGAGGTGGTGGTGGAGGTGCGCCACCGCGGCGTCGTCGGCGAGGGGAGGCACCTCGTACGGGGAGATGTCCGGGGGGCTGCCCTGCTCCAGAGCTCCCAGCGTCCCCGGGAACGGGGGCGGCGGCGGCGGGGGCTGGCGGCCCATGTACAGGCACGCAGGGGGACTGGCGCTGAACTCGGGAGCCGGGCCCCGCTGGAAGGCGCACGGGTCCTTGTAGAGCTGCGTCGCTGCGTAGTACTGCTCCTCGCTGTTCATGGCTGCGGCCGGGTCCTGGAGGCCAGGAGTAGGGAGCTGGAGCCGGGGAGCTGGAGCTGTGCGGCGCTCCCACTCCCGGCGCCACCCTTGCGCGCTTTGACAGCTCCGCTCTGCAGGCGGAGGGAACCCGCCACCGGCGGGGACTGGCCGGCCGGCCGCCGCGCCATAGGCTCCGCGGTGCCCCACGTGGCTCAGCCTGGGGCCATTATTGGCCTGGCCGCCTGCCTTAAGAAGCAAGGCCTAGGTACCGAAGAGCACCTGCATTTCTTTCAATTTTCTCTCTGCTTAGTTTACCGCACACACCTGTGTGCGCAGCTGGCCGTGCTGTGTGAAGTGGAGCACTCATGAAAATATCAAATTTACATTCAATTTTAGAAATAGATTTTCGTCTCACTTTGTGTGATCTCTTTTCCTTGTTTGACAACATAATGTACATAATACATTAGTTTACTAATATACATAAACATTATTAATATAATTTATGAACATGCTTATGCCAAGGTTGTGTATTTAAACTTTTTTTCTTACCTGTTAGGGAATACAGTAAAAAAAAATTACAGATTTTATAGGTTAGAAGCAGTTGGTCCTATTTTATTCATGAAATTTGTACATAACCACAATGATGTCAGTGAGCTAACACATAAAGATCCAGCATTTGTTGTATGTTTTTTTTTAAATCTGTGGCTGTGCTCTGGGGACTTCTGTAGGGTAAACTGCAACTTCAGGAAAAAAAAGAAGAATCGTTCACACTAGCTTTTTACACACTAGCTTTTTATTTTTTTAAAATCGAAAGGCATTATTAATTTTGATTTTGGGGAAATTGGGTTTCATTTGACAAACTCAGCGCAGTTTCCAAATGTGGCGGCTGTGGGGGGAGAAGTAGCGTCACCCTTGTGGCTGGGAGAAGGGGACAGGGTTGGCATGAGGTTTCCAGATCCGTAATGGCTTTCCACGGATCCTGACACCCAGCCGGAGTCGGTCAGCTGGAGAACGCATACTCTTGCGTTGGACTGAAATAAGGCAGGACCTAGAGTGGAGGGAAACGTTTAGAAAAGAATGTAAAGCGCTGCGTTTTATAACGTCAGTCTGTGGCTTCCACTGTTTCGGTAACTTTGGGTATCTGGGGTCTTCCTTAAATAGAGGATTTTTCCAACCGGGTGATGCGGAAGGACTGTCTCCGGGTCGCGGTGGCACTCAAGCCCTGGCCTGGGCATAACCAATGCAGCCGACCCGTTTGCCCGGGGCGTTCTGGGTGGCCTTGGACCAGGTCCTGCCAAAAGGACCACATTCCTCCAACCAACATGGAGGGTTTTAGAAAAACTGGACACATTTGCCGAAAGGCCTTGGCTAGAGGAAACGTGAACCACAAGGAATCACTAAGGGGAAATCATTGCAATCTGACTTTCCTAGACCACAAAGTACATCCAGTCCTCCACGAGGAAGATTTTAATATATTTTCTCCTTGTGGGAAAATCTGGATCTTACATGCATACGGTTTGAGTGCGCTACTGTTTTTCCTTAAAAAGCAAAAGCCAGTTGGGAATTTGGACTTCTCTGCAGATTTCTTGCCTTGTGCGTTGCCGGCGCCGGCTCAGCACTTGCGTTTAGAGGAGTGTTGGGCACCCAGTGGTCCGCGCGTGGGTGGGGACACGCGCAGCTCCCCGCCCTCCTGGTGCGGGTGCTCCCGGCTGGGGGAAGCCGGTTAGGTGGAGGGAGTTCTGGCGATTTCTTCAGGGAAAGGGGCCACCTGCGGTCCCAGGGGCCGGGGAGGAAAAGGCGGTGGGACCTGCGCACCTAATCTCTGCGTGTCCGCGTCAATGGCTCCATTGTTGGCGGCCGCCGCGGAGGACCAGACGCTATCACCCGGCCGCGAGTGACCGCATCGATCAGCCGGCAGGGCCGGAGGGGGTTGCCCGGCCGCGGCGTGTTGACCCTCGGAGATAATCTGCTAGGTCGCCGGGGGTTGACTTGGCGACGCGGTTATGAGCGGGCGGCGAGCTCCGCTTGGGACAAAGATCGCCGCCTTCCTCCCCCCAATTCTTCCCTGCTCGCCCTCCCCCCCTCGGCAACTCTGACTCAGTCCGCAGACGCCCCCCCTTCGCCTCCTCCCCCGCTCCCTGCCTCGCCCGCCACCCCCGACCCAGAGTGTTTATTTTGCACTTCTCGTCTAATTGCACATTTCTGTAAATTGGTCTCCATTTCGATGCTTCATTTGCTCGCATTTAATATTTTTGCTCGGCCCTGCAGAAAGAAAAGAGGCGCTCAGCAGAAAGCAAATCCGCCCATCGCGCTGCTGGCAAATAACCGGGAACCTGGGGCTGAACAAAAAAAGGGGGGGAGGGCGCGAGGGTGCTGAAGGTGCTCACGAGAGGCGCGTCCGCACTTTCACAATTAGCATTTTCGGCTGCTCCTCGCCTAAACAAGTGATCCAGGAAACAGAAGTCAAACGGCCACTTACGATGGTGTGACAGAGTTAACAGGGGTTCTGGACTGGCTGATTACAACGTACACCATAGAGAAAGCGCGCCCCGCGCAGCCTTCCACCAAGCCGGAGCGCGCGTTCTATTTCTTCTGTGGATGTAGCTCCTGGCATCATAAAAGCGCCAAGTCCATTACAGGTGAAATGCGTTTCCGCTCCGAGTCCCCGCTGACGCCTGCGCCCCTCTGCCTCCCACAGGCCCCGGAGCGATACCGAGCCATTAGGCGAGCGCCTTCCCGAGCCATTTAACAGCAGCTCTTATGGATAAATAAACAAAAAAGGCTGTAAACCAATTATAGTGTGGACAGTGAAAAAGTCGTTTATTAGCAGGACGTCCTGATAGCCTTCGCAGATACTGGAGGTCCTCGCTTGCCCTCTTCCCCTTTCCCTTCTGGAGACAGTTTGCGCCCTGGAGAACGCAGGTTACCTTGCTCTTGGTCAGTAGCTGAGTCTTCCAAGCATGCCAAGGGCTGAATTTGACTTGGTGATAAGAATTTCTAAGCCACTGTATTCCATTACTAAGGCGGGGAGATAATAGATGAATCTCAACTCCAAAGATGTGTTTATAATGAATCTGTGTGGAATTTAATTTATTAAAGCATATTTGTTTTTATAATTGACTTGCTGTTAAAAATAAAAATTAAACTCTATCCTGAGTGGAAACGCTAAAGCAAACAATGTGATGTATGCAACGAGAAAACTCCTTCCGTAATTTACTTTGAATTTTTGTGCATGGGTCTTTCCTTCCGTGGACGCTTATGCTGGCTTTTATTCCCTCAGGGGAGAGTCCTTCTTCACTCCTTATACTCCAGGATTTCCTCAGAGTCTGGTACCTAGGTCTGAAGAGGGCCAAAAAACTTCAGACTTTGAATCAAAGGCTTGCCACACATTCATGGGGGCAAGTCAGCAAAAGTGGAGAATTGAAATTATTTTCCAGAAAATTCAGCACCATCCCTCATTATGTAGATAGATGCAGCCTGAAAATGTAAGTCAATCGGGCAGTTGTCGTTGTCGGGTCCTCTACCTCCCTGGCTCTCGTTAGCATAAGAGAGGAGAAGGGGCAGTGTGGCAGACTCTGTGCACCCCAGGACTGTGTGCTGCTCAGCTCAGTTGCCCACACTGCTTCGTGCTTTCTCCCAGGACTGGGACTGGCAGACACCAGCCCTTTCGTCCAGTTTCTGTTTAATCTTTCTGAGGCTTTCAGTTTACTTTGCAGCTGAAAGGAAAAGTGTGAAAGGAAGCTGGCATTCCAAAGCATCTATGGCCCCCTGCTTACACTTCCCCTCAGCTCCAACCCCCCCCTTCCCCTGCCCTTGCAGTTCCCACCCCCTTGGCTTGCTCTCCTCCAGATACCCATCTCTGCCCCATCATCCAAATGTGTAGTCTCTCAAAACTCCAGCTCTTGCCATTACTTTCTCTTCTTCATCCTGGATAACCAGATCCTTGCTTCCATTGAAATTCTCCTTTTTTTTGCCCTCCACCCCACCTCCTATCACTGTTTCCTGTGACTAATCCTTTGTTCTCCTCGGAACATTTCCTTACCTCCAGGAGCCCAGAGGAGGCTTGATCTACCTTTCCTGGCCATTCCAGCCGCCTTCCTGAACCAACCCTCATTTCACATGGTGTATTAGTTCGCAGACCAAATATTTTCAATAATATTTATTGATTAAACAGAGATATAGCCCTTGATATGCACGTGTCTGCAAGCTTCGAGGGATAGAAACTCGGTAGAAGAAATATGTCCTGGCTTTGGTATACCATAGAAAACTCTTAGGAGCTGTACATACCCATCTTCTAAATCTGCCCCTGCCCCACAGAAGCTGTGTGTCCTTTGGAAAGTTATATAGCTCCACTAAGCCTCTCTGTCCTTATTTGTGAAATGGAAACAATAGTACTGCTCCATAAGGAATACCCATTGTAGATAGTGACAGTAAACGCAGGGAGCCAGGGACTGTTTCAAGTATTTTACATTTGTTAATCTCCCGTAAAATCCTGTGAGGTAGGTACTATTATTCCTATTTTGCTGTGCAGGACACTGAGACATAAAGATGTTAAATAACTTGCCCAGAATCACACAGCCTAGATCCAGGCTGAGGAGGTCTGGCTTTAGATGTGACCCTATACTATCTTGCTATGTAGTAGACAATGAGATTTTCAAAAATTATTTTTGTGGGAATTCAATTAGACAAAATGTCGAATGTTCCTGGCTCTTCACAGATACTGAACAAAGGGTCAACTCTTCCTTTTTTTCCCCTAGCATTACTTTTAATGCGTCTATAAGTATTTACTATTATCATTATTGCATCAAAAGAATTGCAGAGCTATTACCACAAGTCCATGTTTAGGGACATTCCTAAATGTCCAGGTAGACCTAGAAAGATACATTCAGAAACACTGTGTCTTTTGAGGGAGTGTGCCCCAAAGTGGGGCTCTGCTTTAAGTGAGAGGAGGTGGGGAGCACTAAATGGTACCTGCTCCTGCCAGCCCCCAACACACCACAGAGAGAAACAGGTATGAGGAA